TGTGCTGTTAAACTCTGCCACTGCTACTGGAGAGTGTTGTCAGTGATTTTGAGCATTTCTTCTTATGCCTGTTGGCCATTGAATAACTTCCTCTGTAAAGATTCTCATGTTCTCTTTTTCTTGTGAAAGACCTAAAGATTGTGTATACTGTTGATATGAGACCCTTGTCTTAAATGGTATGGCCAAATGGGGTGGTCCCCCCACCCCCATCAGTAGGTTTTCTTTTCACTGTCAGAAAAAGCTGTTGCTGCACAAATGGATTTAATTTTTCAAAGGTCTCATTCATCAGTTTTATCATCTCCAGACTGAGCATTTCTGACTGTATTTGGTAGTCTCTTTATAACATATACTAGGCTCTCTAAGCTTAATCGCAGTTTGTCTTTGATAAACTTTATGGTTTTGGGCTTTAGTCCCAGGTCTCTGATCCATCTTGAGGTGATTTTTGTATATGGTGTGAGATGTGAACCCTGTTGCAGCTCTCTATAAGAAGTCATAGTTAGGATGTTTTGATTCCCCAAAAAAAGAAATACTAAACAAAACAAGCTTAAACAAATTTATTCTTCTATAATGAATAATATAACACATATATATCTACATATTTGAAATAGCTTCAGGGAAAACTTGATCAGCTACTTTTCTTTATTTTTTTATTTCCACTCTGGTAGCCTAGTGGTAAAGAACTGTACTGTCAACTCAAAGGCACACAATTCAAATCAACCAGCTGCTCTTAGGGAAAAAGACTGGGTATTCTACTCTCATGCAATTTACTGCCTCTCAGAAAACACAGGAGGATCAGCTCTGAGTTGGTTCTAATTCAACTGCACACAACACGAAGTCTCATTATACAGAACTCTTGTGGCTTACTAGGTAATGAGTTGTTTGAGTTGATCTCTTTATAAGAAACAGACGGCACAATCATAGTGATACAACCACTGCTAAACCAAAGGCCAATGTCTCTGGTGTTTTGAATCTACCAGCTGTTCAACATGAGATATGTGAGTAATTTCTTTCCATTAGGATTTATAGACTCTGAAACTCAAGAGGGCTGCTATGAGTTGGAAATGGACATTGTTAGTGTATGTTTGTCAGCTCTGTCCTAAAATTGGTTTACCTTAAAGTTAGAAGATGGTTCCAACAGTTCCAGGCCTTACACCTACATGGTCCTCTATACTCTGGATCTATTTGGAACCTCCAGAAAATAATTTAGCCAGCAAAGTTCCTTTCTCTGACTATTGTTATTAATTCCTACTCCTAGTGATCCCAAGACAAGAGTAAAACTGTCCTATAGGATTTTCTAGGCTATTTTCTTTATGGGAGCACACTGCCAACTCTTTCTCCAGAGGAAACTATGGGTGAGTCTAAACTGCCTACCTTTAAATTAGTAGCCAAACACTTCACCACTGCACCACTAGGGCTCTGCCCAAGAAAAATCTGTCAAATCCACAAATAAAAGAAAAGAGGTAAGAGTAAACAGCAACAGAAAATTTAATTGTTAGCAAGGATTAAAATATTAATGACATTTAAGGTATTAATTCTTTTATTAACCATTCAATAAACATTTTCTGAACATGCAAATAAACACTCAGCACTATATCAAATTTGTGAAAAGACACTTTATACATTACTTGGAAATTTTAAAAATTAAAATGTTAAATATAAAACTAGCCTGTTGTTGTTGTTATTATGTGCCGTCGAGTCACCTACAACTTATAGCAACCCTATGTACAACAGCCCTAAACTCAGCCCTATCCTGTGCCAATCTCACCATCTCCGACACATCTGCCCCCATTACTACTCCAGTCACTGAATCAATCCATCTTGAGGGTCTTCCTATATACTTTGAAATACAAGCCCCACTGTTAGAAAATGTCTAACCTACCTACAATTCCCAATATGCAGCACTTGTCCTCTAATATTACATAAATTTACCTTTACTTTGAAACAGCTGAACCAGGACTTCCAACCAGTTATCAGTTCCATGAACGTCCATGAGGCAAACTCAGAATGGACTAAAATTTGTCAAGTGTGGATATACTGAAATTATAACTGGATTGTGAAAAACTGCAGGTTTACACTCATCAAGAAACTTAAGTTCATTTTTAGATGTCAAAAACAGTGTGCCCTTTGCCTAAAACCAAATCTCTTGATAAGCAGAGTTGGAAACACCAGTGTCCCAATCAAAGATGGAAGCTGACAACATCTTTGTCACACTCCTCACAGTCCTGACAATAATCCAATCTCTGGAACAAGATTGCTAAAGAAGTTCACTATCCCTCCAGGTCTTCCATTCCAAGGTTTGGTTTGGTTCTGTTGACTACTAATTTTTCCCAAAGAAATGTCTGGCTGTTTGCAACCATATGGCTATAGCCAGGAAAACCCTCTAGAATTCTACTCTGTAACATCTGAGATCACTATAAATTGGAATCAAGTCAACTGTAATAGGTTAGTTTGGTTTACTGTACTATGTTCTTTAAAATAAGTGAGCATAACTAAAACTGCAATTTATGTATCTGTTTTCCTTTACCTAAGACTTCAGTACCAATAACAAAGAATTCAGGCAAGCGTAAAAAATGGTCTATACTCTCAAATTCGACATAAAGGTTTTTCTTCATACTAGATAAACCAATTTTCCCAATGGTTAAACTACCATGGCTACAGTAGCAGCCTGAGAAATAAAATTACTCACGTCTTTATTAAACACTTTATAAACGGATAAAATATTAGCATTATCAATACTGCAAGACTGTAAGATAAATTATAGCCTGACCTAAAGAATTACTCAAAAAAACTTAAGAAATCAACCATTACCAACTTAATATGAAACTTATCATGAAACAAGAGCTGAACAGAAATGGATAGAACCAATGAAAAATAGAAGTTTCATTTAAAAATAAAATCAATCATTTACTACTTTAACTGTGCTAAACATAAGCCTAAGATCTGCAAAATAACTCTTATCTGCAGGCCAACAATGTAAAACCTTCACTCCAGGCTTAACTAAGCCTCTTGCAGTAATCAACAAAATCCACTGTCATCAAGTTTATTCTTACAGCAACCCTAAAGGACAAAGGAGAACTGCCCTACAGGTTTTCCAAGGCTATAAATCTTTTAACAGCATACTGTCTCATCGATCTCATCTTCATGCTTAAGCCACAGTGCTACCAGAGGGCCATGATCACCATAAAATTACCCAAAATAAATACAACCTTACGTTTAATCTTTGAAACACAGTGTGATTACTTTCCTCATTCTTTGTTGCAAAAACAAACATTTTCTTAAATATGCACACTGCCTGCCTTGTGTAGATGACACATCCTTGCTTGCTGAAATGGAAGACATGAGGCGTATGCAGCAGAAAAACAAGGACTCTAGCAGTCTTCAATAAGAACTGAAACAACATCAAGAAAACAAAGATTATCACCACTGGGCGAACTGGAAGCTTCATGATAAACAGAAAAGAGACTGAGACTGTTAACAGCTTCCACAATCAACAACAGTCTCAGCACCAGGAGTCAGGAAATCAAAAGATGAATTGCACTGGGAAAGTCTGCTGTCAGAAACTGCTCTAGAGTACTCAAGAGCAACAATGTCGCTCTGGAGACTAAGGTGTGCCTGATCTGACACGGTCTTTTAGCAATTACTTGCTATGCCTCAGAGAGCTGAACAATGAATAACTAAGGAGAACGAAAGAAGAATCGATGCCTTTGAACTGTGATGCTAGAGAAACTCATTGAACATACCGTGGACTGCCAAGAGAGCAAACAGATCAGTCCTAGAGAGGGTGAAACCAACCTTCTCCCCGGAGGCAAGTTATTTTTAAAGTCCATCTCACATACTTTGCACATGTTACCAGAAGAGACCAGTCACTGGGACAGACATCACGTTTGAAAGGGTGCAAGGACAACACAGGAGAGGAAGACCCAGAATAAGATGGATTGACTCATGACTGGAGTAATAGAATTATGTCTGAGATGATGAGATTGGCTCAGACAGCAGGGTTCAAAGCTGATGTACACAGAGGTCACTAGGAGTGTAAGGTGACTCGATGGCACATAACAGCAACAACAGTGCATTCCCAAGACAACCTTGGAAAAAGCCAATGTCTTTCTTGTCTGTACTCCGTGCCTTACCTTCACCCTGCCCACCCGGTGAGAATGTTCTTTTGTATCTCTTCTAAAAATCACGCACACTCCTACACTGCTCAAAAATACTGGCAGCCTCATATGAAAAGAAAAATTCACTTTCAGGTTCTGCATGGCATTTACGATAATAAAGTACAAAATTTCTCGCTTCATTTATAAGTGCATAAGCCTGCTGATGCTAAAGCACAGTCCATTTCTAACAACAAACTACTATCACAATTGTCTTAAAAAGAAAGCAAAGGAGGTTAACTCTTACTACCTCCGTACCAAAAATTTTTTCATTTTCTTTGATTCCAGGTTAGAAATCCAAGCACCTTCTAAAGTAGAAAGGAGCTACATCAGGGCACAACTGTCAAGGTTGGCTTTAAAGCAGGGATACAATTTAAAACACATAAATCCAGTAGAAAAATCTGACTCTCCCCTTAGCCTTCAGCAAATCGTCCAGGACAAGTTTTCCATTGGCAGCCTCTGCATCAGGAGTGTCCCCTCCTTCAGCAAGGATCCAGCTGGCCCCCAGTTGCCCTCGGTCCTGCCCTGGCCCCGCCTCCCAGGAGGGTCTGCGGGGTGATGGCGCGCTGCGGGGGGCTGCGGCCACCCCCTTGGCCAGCTGTCCAGGGGCCCCGGGGATCCTCACAGCTCTCCCCAGAGCGCGCGGCAAGGTCAGGGAGTCCCCTGCGGCCGCCGAGTCCCACCGGGGAGCCCCGGACCACGGATGCGGGCAATGCCGCCGAGGTTGCCCGAAGGGGGCGTGACCGCCCGTTAGCCGGACTGAGCGGGGACCGAGGTAACTAACTGCACCGGGCGGCCCCCAAGCCGAAGGGCGGACGGCCCGAGGTAACGGGACGCTCCCTTGCTTACCGCCAGGTCCGGGTTGCGGCTGTCCCTGTGCGACACGGCTCGGATGACCCCTGCTCGCCAGCCCCTCCGGCAGCGTCCGCTCTCCCAGGGATCCAGCCGCGTCTCCTCGCCAACCGCTACGCACAGGAACCGCTTCCCCACCAGCTCTGGTCGTGTCCCCACCGCCATAGCCGTTGCTGCCGAAGCCGCCGCTGCCTCCTCACGGCCAGACACAGGAGCGTTTAAACCCCACTCCTACCGGCCGCCCATACCGAGTGTGAACCGGCGGCTCAGCTCAGGGAATGCGGGGCGCGCCGAAGGCTCTGCCCGCAGGATACAGGGAGCTCCGTCCCTCACTATCTCCAACACTCCCCAGCCTCGGGCTGCAGCTCCACGGCAAGAAAACCCTGACCCAATCCCCCACACCACTGTGGACGGCCCCGAAGCAGCCCCGCCGCCGCCGCCACAGCGCCGCGGCCAGTACTGCTCCGCCTCCCCCACGACCACACCGCGAGCGCGCCGGCCGCGCGTCTCCTTCCGCCGGCGCGGGTGGGGCGCCCGTGGGGGGTGGGGGGGTTCGGCCGAGTCGCGCGAAGGGAAAGTAGTGCGGGGGCGGCGGCGGGCGGACCGGGCGAGCATGCGAGTGGCTCCCTGCGCGGGCTGCTTCCAGTCGGAGGAGGGACGAGAGGCGCCGCCCAAAGGAATGCCTCCCTCCTTCAGCAACACCATGAAAGGCATTCGGGGTCTACCTCTCTAGTGGTTGCTTCCATGCTTGGGGGGCGAGAATGCAGGGTAGACGAGGAGGCGGGCGTGGGGGAAAAGGAGCCGAAAGGGAAGTACTGGTTCCCTTCTGGATCACAAAAGAATCTCTAGGTTAAACGCTGCAACTCCAGAGCGATTGTTTTTCAAAACACATGGCGCCGTCTGAGTTAGTCTGAATTAACGGCCTTGCCATCTCAGCAGTGAAGCAAAGAGAAACCCTTTTTTTGGGGGGGAGGGTGGGCGAGGGACCTGGAGTTAGTTGCTTCACAACACAATCTACGACTTCAAGTTAGAAGGAAGGAGGTATCTTAATGTTTTCTTCTTCCCATTGTAGCGATGCTAATTATGTCTGAGCTATTCAGAAATTCGTACCTCACTACTACCTTAAGAAAAGTAAAAAAGTTCCCTTAAAGGCTTCTGTCCTCCTCCTTAAAATTCACTACCTTTGCACCAACTGGAGTATGGGTCCAGGCGGTCATTAGACAGCATGAAAGGATAAGGATTTTAGCCAATCATATCTCAGAAAAATATGTCCAATCACAAAACGTCTTTTATGACCCCGATTTCACACAGGTCTCTGACTTGGAATGATGACTCTTTGATCCCAACTTTTGCATTCTCTTAAGTCAAACCTCCTTCTCAGTTCTATTTCATGCATAGTTTACAATGTTTTAAAAGACTGCTTTTAAATTCCAATTGTGCTTTTCAAAGTGGCAATAGTGGTTTAATTTCAGCATTTCTTTTAGCCCAATATAAATGTGCTACAAATTTCTGTTTCTTAAGAGATTTTCCCAAACCACAAAAAGGCAGAAAAGTAACTCTCTTGAAAAAAACTCAATTGGCTATAGTTCTCTCTATATAAGCTTTGTTCTGTTGTCTCTAGTAAACCCAAACTGACATGGCCACCATTATCAAGAGGATAAAATCTTTTCATTCTAACCTATTGAGCAATTTTTTTTCTTTCAATAATACAATGGTTAAGTCATAGAGTGAAATGAAGCTTTTGTCTACTGTCTCCAGAAAACCCAAACTGGCATGCCACTATGAATAGGTTAAATAGAAAAATTACAAGGAGGAATGATTTTAATCACCATCTCTTAATTTTGGCAATCTAAAGGTCAAATGTAAAAGTGCCACTGACCTAAACATACATACACAAACAAAAACTATGTCCAGAAAGCAAACTGGCAAGCTGAGAGACAATTTTAACTTCAGAATTTTTATGTCAAGATCACTCACTCTCTCAGGATAACACTTTTGTAAATCATACTAAAAATCACTTCCTATATCTCCACTTGGGTTAAAGAGCCAGTAAAGTATCCTAGTGAGAACAAGCCAATGTAGGAAAAGGCAAATAAGAGAGAGGTCCATGATTTGCTGGTTTGTGACCTTTAGCATGTCACAAATGTTTGAAATGGTGATGCGCTGCTTCCTACTTCTCAGCAATATTCTATGGCAAATGTGAAAACAAAAATAGAAAATATGTTGAGTTTACCATCAATCCACTGTGGCATCAATGGAGAAAGACACACAATCTCCTCTCTTGAGCGACTTACATCCTCAAAAAACCTGCAGAAGCTATGAGTCTGTTCAATGAGTGAGATCGGTTTTCCATTTTCTATGTAAATTCTTCTAAACTGGCCTCTTCTCATCCACTGCCAGTGAGTCCATTTTGACTTAAGAGCTACCTTGTGTGGCAAAGTATAACTGCCCTATATGGTTTCCAAGCTGTAAATTTTTTTAAATTAATTTTAATGAACGTTTACATAGATTTTGGATTTCCATACATTCATTGTTGCATTTTTCTCCCTGCCCACCCATCCCACCCCTAGTTCGCTCTTCTCTTTGAAAAGTAAAATTATTTCACTGGTATAGAATCAACCCACCCCCACCCCTGCCCACCCCGAGTACACTCCACTAGGCAACCTTCATTCTGGACTCTTGTCATAACCATAATACCCAATCATATATTGCTTTCAAACAGTTCACTCCATCATCTGTTTCAATGCAGTATACATAATTTATCCAAGTTTTCTCAGTCTCACTCCAACCCTGATGGCAGTCTCATTCTACAACAGTGGCATCATGCTGTAAATTTTTATGGACACTGTTAACTGCCTAACTTTTTTTCCTAGAATCAGCTGAATTACTGACCGAATTAGCAATTGGGTGCTTTAACCACAGCATTACTGTTGCAGTTGTGTACTGTAGAGTCGGAATTGATCCATAGCGGACCCCTGGCAGGTTTTTCAGAGGCAGTTAATCAATCACACAGGAGGAAACTGCCCGTCCTTCGGTGGAGCAGCTGGTGGCCTTAACTACGTGCCTTTGGGAGTGTGGTGCAATCCTACAACATTACTAGAGTTCCTCAAATGGGCCTTTAGAGGGACTAAAGGACGCTCTGATGACTTAGTGGTACAAATTGCACTGCCAACCCATATCCATCAGTTACTTACTTCACAAGAGAAAGATGGTGAATCTCCAGTGAAATATATGTTGTTGTTGTTGTTGTTATGTGCCGTCGAGTCGCCTGCGACTCATAGCGACCCTATGTACAACAGCCCTAAACTCCGCTCTGTCCTGTGCCAAT